GTGCGATCAAGGGATGGCTCCCTATTGGTCAACTATATTATGTATGCCGATGATCTGGTAATTGCTGCTCACTCAGAGGAGGAGTTGAAGGCGCTGCTGCTGAACTTGGAGCTTACCACTAAGAGGTGGGGCCTTACCATCAGCCCCACCAAAACTAAGCACCTGCCTGATTATTTTGTATCATCGAACACTTCACCTCCCAATTGGTGATGGGGCTGTTGTGGAGAGAGTGGAGAGTTTCCCATACCTGGGCAATGTGCTCATGACCGGCTCCGGTTTGACAGCAGAGGTCTCACTCCGAATCAGTCGAGTGGCATTATCTTTTCATAGGCTGCGTAACACTGTGTGGAAGCTACCTGGTCTATCGCTCCACACGAAGGTTCAGGTCTTCTCGGCCACCGTCATTCCCTCCCTTCTCTACGTTTGCGAAACGTGGACCCCCCTAATGGAACATCTTCGCCGGTTAGAAACATTTTGGCTGGCCTGCCTACGATCCATCCAGGGTTTAACCAGGCTGGATTGTTTGAGGAGCTCACATATCCTTGAAAGATCTGGACAAAGTCCCATCGGTGAGCTTCTCCGGCATGCAAGGCTGCATTGGCTGGGTCATGTAGCCCACATGCCCAGCCATACGGGCTACATACATAAATAGCTTTTGTTCGGCCGGATAGAGGGGGCTAAACAGGTGCGGCACGGGCTGGAGAAGAGATGGAGTGATGTGGTCCAGGAGGACATGGAGCTGAGTGGATTTGCCGATGACTGGTACCAGCGGTGTCAAGATTGGCCTCTGTGGAGGAGGCTCGTGAAGGATGCTACTGGGCAGTTGGAGGGCAATCGCCCTCCAACAACAACGGAGGGCGGAGGAGCGACGCTCACAACAACGAGCGAAGCGCCGGGTGGCTAAAGCACAGCAAGTTGGCATAGTAGGGGGCACAGGTGGTGCATCAGCCAGTCATCTCAGCCCTGTGACCTCCTGCCAGCGGGCGTTCGACACTTCACGTGGCCTGAACGTACACATAGCCTGGCACAAGCGTCGTGGTGACGTCACCGCCACTTAGTGGCAAATGGTGGTTGTTGTTGCTATGGTGGTGAGATGTTAACTACCTCGCCTAGTATACAGGGGTCGTGAGTTTGATCCCGACCCTGACGCCTGCATGTTCTCTCCGTGGTTGTGTGGATTTTTCTCCGGCTCCTCTGGTTTTTCCCTCCACATTTAGAAACATATGTTTAGAGTATTTGGCTGCTATATATTTTCACGTGATAAGCCACTTCGTTGAGCTATAATTCGTGGCCAGGTAGCTGGTAATAGTTTAGTTTATTATGTCTATCTAATAGACATAGCCATGATACTCTTTTTGCTATTCTTAAAAATTTGCTTTCATATTGATAGATGGATAGCTCTGTGGATGAGTGTTTATTTGGCAGGCAGGTGGTCCACAGTTTAAGTGTTCTCACAGCTAAGGTCAAACTTCCACAGAAAATGCTGGATCTCATTGTGTTCTGTTCTGATCATAATTCACTCATTCCATCATTACCCTGAATCCAAAAACTGTCTTTGGGCATTTTGCCAGCTGTCATGTACGAGGAATCTCTCCTAGTCGCAAACTCAGATCTCACAGAATGAGATTTTCCTGCTTGTCTGCAAAGCATCGCAATTTATTACACACTGCTTCATTTCGTAAACATGTCCTTGTCTCCTGCTCAACTTGTGACATCCACATTGTTAGTTCCTACAGCTCCAGTACCCGCAGGACATTTCTAACAGAATACACACAATTTGGCTGCCAAAAATCTGGATCAGTCTACCTTTATTTTTCTGCCAAATATATATTTTTTTAATTATGGGTAATTAGATTTTGGTAAAAGAAAAGGTGCAGATCTGCAATTGCTTGCTCACGCTACTTGCTGGCAGAAGAACTTCTCACTCGAGGAGGAAGTTTAGGAGAACACCCTGTAACCCACCAAACCCCGATCTGTAGGGTACCCATCTACACTGCTGGGTGTACGGAGTGATGAGTGAAACAGATCAAATGAGTATTCTTGGTTCTTTCGGTAAAGTCACGTAGAAGGGAAATAATAAAATAATAAAAATATAAAACAATAAAATTCTCACGATGTTTCGACTGCAACACAAGCAATCATCATCAGGTGTGAAATCCACGGCAAGAAATTTTGAAACAATTTGGCGGTTTTCAAATTGGATTTCACACCTGATGATGATTGCTTGTGTTGCAGTCGAAACGTCGTGAGAATTGTATTGTTTTATATTTATTATTATTTTATTATATCCCTTCTACGTGACTTTCCCGAAAGAAACAAGAATATGAATCCCTGCAGTCACAAAAGTTTTAAATTAAAAAAATCACATGAGTGTCTGTCAAGCTGTTTTTCTTCATCCTCTGGGCAAGTTGTGTATTTGTTGTTTTATGTGTTTTTAGGGCAGTATTAAATGTGTTAAAGATAATGAATGCTGCTGTCTGTTAAGTTCTCAGAATCCAGTCTCCAGCATTCCGTTCTTAAAATAAGAATGTCAAATTACGTATCGCTTTGCCAGCAGTAATGCCAACCCTCTCGATTGGTCACCCAAATGTGTTGTTTTTGTTAAGTTCACACGACTGCAAAGCACAGAAACTGCTATATACGACCAGGTAACTACAAATTAACTGGTAACCCAATATCAGCAAACATTATTTTACTTTTTTATGCTTATTAGCAATACCAAAAGTCCCAAAAATATTAATATTCATACCAAGACCTTCCATATATACTGCACATGTATATTATCAACAGTGAGGGCAATACTCGTTATTTTATTGAATACACCATCTCGTTTGCATTCGACAAAATATTCTAAATTCTTGCACCCGTGCCAACAATCACAAATTAATTGTGCGCCAAAGTGAGATCTGCAGAGAAAATGCTTTTTGTGAGTGCGGTCGTGTCAGCCACACTATATCTGCTCTGATTGCAGTAGGTTGAACTGCATTGTTGGTTTCCTTTGACAAGTTTGCATGACAAGTTTGCCACTCCCTCCCCCGCCATGACCCCTGGAGTGCCCTCTTTGTTGGCTGCTCTCCTTGAGTGGGAGAAAAAAAACCATCCTGGAGTGTGTGCCGGTATCTTATTTTATTTGAACAAAAAAAAAGTTGAAAGTTTGTTCTAAAAATAATCCCACAATTGTTTGGCAGCATTACAATCACCGTGCAGTATTTTCAGATCTTTGCTTTGTGAGTTTCAGTAGCTGTCGGTATTTCAGTGCAGTGTATACATAAACACTTCACTGCTCCAAACGTTCTTTCAAAATAATGTCCTTACACAGCTGGACCACCTATGCACTGATTTGCCTGCAGAATGCTAATGTGAAGCAGATGTATTTTCCTTGCTGGATCGACAGCTGCAAAGCATTATGCACATTGTCAGTGGTTCATAACGCATCGGTGCTTTTAAAGCAGTAACTTCTCAACAGCCAGCTCTTGTACTCTTAAAACAGGGGGTCCTTGGAATGTTAACTAAATCAACCAGAGTATGTATAATACAGTATATTAAAATAAAACATTAAGCAAATGTACAGCCCTTGCAATTGCTTGCACACGTAACTGTTGGCAGAAGGACCTCCACTAGAAGGAACGATAAAGCTCCTTTATAGGGTATTTGGCCTACTCTTCCATGCTGACCAGACGTCCGGGAAGAGTTTGGAATACACACTGTACCCCACCACATACGATATGCTGATCGATACTGCGGGGTGGACCAAGGTAGGGGCATTTAAGAAATTTTCCAATTTTTTTACTGCCGTGTCACACGGGAGGTCGGATTGAACCGCTGAAGTCCATTGCGCCAACATACCACAGCAGCATTCTTTAAAAAAAACATTACAGTAATGGAAAAAAATCGCTAAAATCCTCCCCAAGTATTGGAGGTTGTTGTCCTCAATATGACTCTGGGACTACCGACTAAGTCACACAGTTAATCCAAGTAACTTCCAAAGTTCCACTTTGGTTATGTATAAAATTGCTTCTAATGGCTCAGAAAAGAAAATTACGTTTAGCAGCCTGTAATTATGTTTAAGAATAGTGACATTCTGATAATAATTGTTGTAAATGCGATGACTACTGTTGATAATACTTTAACAAAAATGTAATAACTATTTAAAATGCTGTTTCCATTCTATAAATTCAAGAATGAGAATAAACATTGGAGTTAAAGATTCAAACAATACAGCAACTTGTACCATGTTCATATTTTATTAGTCTTTTGTACTTTTTTTGTTGACATGTAAGATTTTTGTTCAGTATAATGCTTAATTTTTCAGTTCACGTACGAAGTTATGGCTTCAGGGTTTTTTTTTTACCCTTCGTGAAAATGAAATACACTACGATGTGTAACATTATACACAGTACCTGAGTGCAAGTGGCAAAACCAATATCATCAAACACACACACACGTAATGCTTCTTTGGCAGTTCCACCACAGGTAAGATTGCTGCTGCTTCATGCAGGGAGGGACTAACAAGGATTGGCTCTCACTTAATGGACACCCTCTAGTGGAATATTATAGAATCGTACAATAAACTGAGGTGTGGCGTTGGCTTTCAACAATGGCTTTTCTGTTTCAGCATTATTGAGTCACCTTAAGTCCACAAAAGCCAGCATATGGGACATTCTAGTGGAAACATAAGTCGGTCTTCCTGTGGTCTAGCAAGTTTCGACATTAAACGACACTGCTGACTCCCCACCCAGTGTTACTCACAGTGTGGTGCCCATTTGACTGACCCTGGACGGGTGATGAGGTGAGCCTGACCAGAACCGAGATTTCCACTCACAATCCAGTAACTGTATGAGCCCCCGTGCTCTGCTATGTGAGCTTAGAAAGTGTGTGCCATTAGAATGTTCATTTAAAACATTGGCTCCATCCACTATATCGGCGAGTGAGCTGCACCAAAAATTGTATTCGTTGTGTAAACCTTCACACAGAAATGTCGTTTTTGCTCCACGTGTGAAGGCTACTTTATGCTGAGGTCACTGCATCTGGATGTGTGGAAACGTCCCCACTGTCATGCCAACAACCCTCTCTCTGCATAGGTAATTCATACCAGTGTATATTGCATGTGGTTGCTTTCACTCCAACAAGAAAACCTGGCTGTGCCATAACCCCCCACCCTCCACTGTAAACGTGGTGATTAACAATGTGTACACTCCTGCCAGACCTATTCCATCTAAAATAACTCGTATAATGCTCGTGTACCATGCAGTAACATTGCCACATCGAGCATTAAGGAACACGGCCTTAATTTATGGCGTTAATAAAGTGCTGCTCTACAGCACTGATTGTTAGCACTTAGCAAGAATATGCGGAAAATAGCCCGAGGTGCCTGTCGCTATTATCGCGATTCCACACTTTGCAATTGCCGAGCTCATTAAATCCCATAGAGTTACAATGGCCATTGGCGAATTCGGCAAGCACTGGCTTACCGTTCCAATGGAGTGTTCGGCTTGCACAGAGTTGTTCTGTTAGCGATGGCGAGGTCACTGGCTTCAAACATCGTCGTGGCCAAGCGTGTATGGCAAGAGTGGATTTTTTGCGAGGATGCAATAGTCAGCTCATTGTAAATGAGCCCCCGTATGTGTGATAGCTGAATTGACTCTTTATTCACGCCATGCTCATAAACATCACGGACCAAAAAAAAATGTAGGCAAACACAAATAGAAATGTTCATACACAACGCAGGCGAGTGTACGAGACGAGCAAGTGCGCTGGGGCAAGACTCGTGTCGCTCGAATGTTATGGCCGGTGGTCAAGAATAACGTCGGAGAGGCAGCCAAAGCAGACATCGCGCCTGAGAGTGTGTACACCCATGAGATGGAGGGATGAGATCTGCTCCCGTTGCTATTACAGCTTGCACGTATTCAACTCGAAACAGCAACGACAAAACACACCCTTTTTATGGTCTCAACGATATGTTTGGCTTTAATTTGGCCAAACCAATATGATGAAACGAACCCATACATTGGGTGCGTTTCATCATACCCATGTACACAACAAACAGCAAAAACATTTTTTTTTACATCTGAAAAAAATAATATGCGTGCAAACACTCGAAAACACAACTAATGCCGACATATAACCATTTGAACTCAAACGGCCTCTTGCATACGTTTGTTTTTTAATTGTGTTACTCATCGGGCAAAAGGAGTGTACAAGTAATTATTGGCTGCTGTGCTAGGTTAAGTGACCTTTGCACATTAACCCCCCCCCCCCCACACACATTGTGCAAGAGCGCAGAAGTGTGGTCAACACGTCTACGCCTCCATATAAGGAACGAAACAGGTGGACTTCTCCACAAATCTGGCTGTCGCCTGATGAAGCTAGTTGTAATTACTGGCGAAACGTCGTACTCAGATTGTAAATGTTGTGGCTTGGTTCTCCAACACACCGGTGTGCTATACTCGTGACGAATTGGCCACGTTCTGTTTACGTGACCACCCTTATCAGTTGGCTGTGTCGGGTGGTGGCGGGTTTTAACGACACATTTATATATTTACGCGATAACCCAAAGAAACCTCGATTATGGATGTTGTGTGTTGTTGGGGGCCGCACGTCAGGAGCCACACTAAAGGCCACCAGGGGCTGCAAGTGGCCTGCGGGGACTTGCATTGAAGAACACCGCTATAAGCAGTCTGCTCAGGAGTCTTCATTTGTTATTCTTGGTTCTTTCGGTAAAGTCACGTAGATAGAAAATAAAATACAAAAAATTAATTAAATAAAACATTTAAATACAAAATAATGAAAGCAAAAAAAACCACGACGTTTCGATCGCGACCGTGTTCGTGAACATAAGACAGATCTGAAACACGGTAGGACCAATACTTCTGCCGTGGTTGATCATTATTTTAACGTGGCTGGCTCACACGCAATAGATTTCTCTAAGACAATGGTACTTTGCAAGCCGACTGGCTATCAACAAAGATTCGTTCATGAAGCCATCCATAGATACAGACGCAGACACAATTTCAACCGAGAGGAATGGTTATAAACTCAGCAATCATTGGAAAGATGTCATCAACCACTTTGGGTCATGACTTGATTTGTGTTTTCTTGTCAACCTCTACCGTCAGCACTGTGGGTGTGTGTAGCGAGGTGCAATGCCCCCCCCCCATCTCTACCCCCCCTCTCTCCCCCTATGTCTAACCCACCCTCTCTAACCCCTATCTCTACCCCTTTCCTCCCCCATTGTCTACTCCTACATTGTCACTGGCTGACTGGCTGCCCCGCCCGTGCTGTTTACCCCGGACAGCTCTCCTCCTCCCAGCTCTCGTCCCCTGCCAACTCACTTTGGAAACCCTTATAAGCAGTTGCATTTGGAGGCTTGCCCCCTCTTTTCTCTAGGCCTGATGAAGACCGCTTGTGGTGCGATCGAAACGTCGTCGTTTTTTTTGCTTTTATTATTTTTATTTTATTATTTAATTTAATATTATATTTTATTATTTTTCTTTTATTTTTTATTTTCTATCTACGTCACTTTACCGAAAGAACCAAGAAAATGAATACCTGCAGTCACGAAAGTTTTAAGTAAAAATGTAGTCTTCATTGAGTTTTGGTCTCTAAAATCCCTTCGGGTAAACAAGACAAAGCCAAGTGAGCACTGCTTTCACACATCTGGTAACCACATTGCCCCAAATTGTTAAGGACAATAAGGCAAAGACCAAGATTCGATCAGCAGTGCACACAACTTATGCGCTGAAGAGCCACAGTTTTTTTTATTGTGCATAAATTTGCAAGCACCTAAAGTGTATCGCAAAATCTACTGCTTATAATTAGTTCTCTGTGATGTGTATAAGATTCTGTATAAAATGTAATTACTGTGTAGCTGCATAAATTTCAACCGGGAGATATATATTATTTTTGTAATTAAATTCTGTCCCGCAACACCCTAAATCTGACTGCACAAGCTCTGCTAAGCTCTGCTATCACAACATGTTTACACTTAGACAATTGATCTATTTATTTTCACGACCAGTTGGCAATACTTGATAAGTTTCAAGACACTTTGTTATCTCAGCACAAATAATCCATGCATTGTTGTTATTTTACTTTAAACGTATCAGCACATCTTGCGATGACATTTAGGATACTTGCAAATGCGATGTGAGTAATGTGTGCAAAATATATCACGACATATTTAGTTCCCTGATGAACCAAACACATTTTTAACAGTTCAACAGTACATGCTGCATATAATTCAAAGGATAAAAATAATACATTGAACATTAAATAGAAAAGAAACCTCCAGGGTGTGATATTTTGGCAGAATGTTTAAAATTATAGGGTATGACCCTTATTCAATAGGACTGTTGTATTACAGACCATGCTTTCAACAAATGCGATCACTGTTAAAAACCCTATGCCATGTGGCAGTATTTAACATTAATAGGGAAAGGAAATCTTTCCTTTGTTCCATTTCTAAGCATTACATAGGCAAAACTGATGGACACTTCAAAGGCCCTGAAGAGTTGTCATGATAGATTCCTCAGATTTATTTCGTTTCAAGTGGCACTACTGAATTATTTACCCGAATGAAATTGGAGCCAGTAATACTTTTGACAATTAATGCATTTAATTGTTAATAAAAGCAGAATTGGGAATACCGTAAAGCAACGCGTATTTCTTTTCAGCATTGGCAACCCGAGTCCCATTACACAGTATAAGTCAGTCAATCTCTGCGAGTTCATTCTATTGTAGAAAAGGGCCATTGCTTGAAATGTTAACATATTTTTTGTTCCAAGGCACTGTTAATGACGGTCTGGGTGTGTATTTTTATTCCAATCAAAGTTCAAAGTTCCCCCACAAGTTTGGACGACAGTGAAATTCACGTGTTAACTTATATTGTGGTGTGATGTGACATTTCAACACTGTCAAAATCACGTTACTTTTGAATGGTAACCGCATGACGCTTAGAGCACCCCATGTACGACAAAAACAGAACAAGTCTCCTGTATTTTTAACATGTGGTAGCATGCGCATGCTTGTAGGATCCTCGTCTTGAACAGTACAGTACTTGTATTTATATCGACGAGATAACGGTTGAGATATGAGACTGAATGTAGATTAGCACTGCCAAGCTCGAAGACCATCCAGGGCTAAAGTGCACCGGTTTATCAGGCTCTAAAATAATGGAATGGAACACCTCGCTCTTATCAGTGAGATGTATTAGCAAATCTCTAAATGTTCCAAAAGCAACAACTTTGTGATGCTAATACTGTACAGCTGTATTTGCATGGTGTGCTTTAAAGTAGGTTGTTATTTGATGTGAAAACTTTAGTTATTTGTGATCCGTCTATGACTGCATGGTGGTTTGTGCTAGTGTGCCTTTGTGCTTATCGTATTGTTTAGAGGCTTGTTACAATTCACCCACCAAAATACGGCATTTAAATTATGAGAAAACCCCATCATAATGGAAAATGCGCCCATCCCGTTTCAGATTTGATGAACTGTAACAAACTTGGGTTGCAGATTCCATTCAAGAGTCGATTCGCAAACCTCCAGTGACTCCTAGGGTTTACGTAAGCCAATAATATAAAACAAACACACATTAAAAAAATATATAATTATTTTCTATATGCACGATTACATGGATGTATCAATGAGTGTTAAAACTAAATTAATCAACGAAATGATGCAACGTTACATGTTGAGCAACGTATTATTTAATCTACTTTCAAAATTAATGAAATTTAAGGATTTCCACTCGTGAGTTCTACCTTGGTAAATCAATAATCACAGTACTCTGAATACTTTTAATAATGTTCGTATCTCAGGCACATGATGGCAAAGACAATATTGGCTTCACAATAAATATTAACATATTTAATAAGCCTAGCTCGCACAATATTTCCTCAACGTTTAACACTTTTATTTTAATAGAGAACTAAGTTTTATCGTGAATACACGCAGTCTTTATGTTTTAAACAACCTTACTTTATCCCAATCGTGCTATCGGCGTCATATTATAAGGCAAATCATGAATTGGGAACTTTCATATAGCAGTGAAACCCCCTAAGTTGGAGAGCAGTTCATGAAAGCA